TGAAGTTACAGACTGCCGTCCCCTGAATCACCCACCTAACAGATACAAAGCTTTTATGCTCTAATTTGTCATCGTGGGTGGTTGGCAGGGGTCTGGTACGTTTTGCTCCTTCTTTTCTGCCAAACATCTGTCGTCCTTATCCCAAACATCTGTCGTCCTTATCCCAAACATCTGTCGTCCTTATCCCAAACATCTGTCGTCCTTATCCCAAACATCTGTCGTCCTTATCTCTTGTCCGTCTTCTCTGTGAACGTAACTATCCAGTAACACTTATAATCATCGTCACTTGGACATAGCCTAATCGTGCTGAACGTGCCGTAAAACTCTTAATAAAACTAAACACTTTCTTTGTCACAGTTTCGGTGTGAACCCAGGTTCTGTAGCCGAAGGGCACGGCATTTATGCCTTTATCAATCCCACAGGGGATTATTAAAGAGTGGAACAAAACCCCGAGTGACCCCCCTTGTGTGACAGGCTTCCGTCATGCGCAGTCGCCCGGCGGTCGACGATGTCGTCTGCTGCAGTGGGCGGGGCAGACATGGCGGCTGTCATGGCGGCCGTGCCCCGCATCTGCTTGTGCCCTGTCACTTCGCTACAAGAAAAGGCGCGTAACACGTCACTCGCGAATTTGGCGCAGAACATTTTTGTGTGTGTGTCTTCCAGTCGCCTCCTTCATCTGTCTTTACTATAGTGCATTGCTGGTGAGGCAATTTTATTAAAGGAAGGTTTTCAAGTCTTGGTAAGATAATCATATTATTATGAAATATGGAGTAATTTCAATAAAGAAACGAAAGCGTGTATTTTAACATTATTTTTTTAGTAGAGATTTTACGGCCCTCGCAACTGTATAAGGTCATATGAGCGCCAGAAAGCGAGTATTATGTCATCTTTTCTTTGTATTTTACTGTCTAGTAACACCTGAAATGTTCCATATTTACATTTCCTATTTGCGTTGAAAGTGCCGTAAAACTCGTTCTGTGACAAGTCTTTTCGATATTCCAGCTGTGATTTCAGTGTGTAGTGCAGACTTACATCTTTGATAGGATGGGGGTACTGTGTGAAACTTTTCCTCTCTATTGGACTTGAGCTGTTGTCTTTTGCGAGGCATGGCGAAGAACGAGTCCAGATAGAGAACATGCGCCGGTCTATAGAGTCGACATTGTCCAAGGCGGCCATCCATTGTAGGAGAGAAAATGGTCGTCTGTCTATAGAGTCGACATTGCCCAAGGCGGCCATCCATTGTAGGAGAGAAAGTGGCCGTCTGTCTATAGAGTCGACATTGTCCAAGGC